GGAGGCCCGTTTCCGAGGCCACCGCCGGCCAGGGGGGGCTCGGTCTGCTCAGTGAGGAGTTGTTTGTGTTTGGGGCTTTCTGTGTGGAAAGGGGGGATGGGGCGGTGGGGGTGGGGGTGGGGGGTGGTCACCATCCAGCTCCTGGTCGCTCCCGTGTCCCTGCTCTGATGTTTGTTTGCGTCCGAGTGCAAATATCAGAGGCGTGCGGCGTCGTGTTGACTCTGAGGATCGATGGCGGATCTGAGGAGGCAGAAAAAGGCCAATTTCCCCACAACAGCAGAATCCTGCACAGAAAAGCAACCAAAGACGTCTGTCCTTCATCCATCCATCCATCCAGCCATCCATCCATCATCAATCCATTATCCATCCATCCATCCATCCGTCATCCATCCATCCATCCATCATTCATCAGTTCATCATCCATCCATACATCATCCATCCATCCATCCATCATTCATCCATCCATTATCCATCCATCATCCATCCGTCCATCTGTCATCCATCCATCCATCTTTCATCAGTTCATCATCCATCCATCCATCCATCCATCCATCCATCCATCATCCATCCATTCATCTATCCATCCATCCATCCATCCATCATTCATCCATCTGCCAAAATCCATCCATCATCCATCCATCCGTCATCCATCAATCTGTCATCCATCCATCCATCATTCATCAGTTCATCATCCATCCATTCATCCATCCATCCATCCATCATCCATCCATCCATCCATCCATCCATCATCTATCCATCCATCATCTATCCATCTATCCAACATCTGTCCCTCATCCATCCATCCATCCATCATCCATCCATCATTCATCAGTTCATCATTCATCCATCCATCCATCCATCCATCAGTCATCAGTTCATCATCCATTTATCCATCATCCATCCATGATTCATGCATTCATATTAATGACTGATTAATGTAACTGCTAATAATGAACAATTGAGGATGAAAGATTTCAAGTATTGACATTTTTCAGTAATTAAAGGGCTAATTCACTCATTATAGTCATCTGACCCCAAACAATGGTTCAAACAAACTCATTAAAGTGGAATTCTGATTTCTTATCTTTTCTTATCTACGTTTTCCTCTCATTGGCATCCTCTTTGTAAACGTATAGAGATAGATGAAGGGAAATGCCATCAGTTCTGGAGCCGTTTCACAGGACCAGCTCGGGCTGCCTGGGCCCACTAATTACCTCTAACTGTGTGTGTCCACATTTCCGTCTGCCACTGTTAAAGGCAGCTCATCGCTTTGTGGAGATGAAAACTTGAATTTGCTTCTCACGCCCTCAATTATTTTAAATATATGCAGAGGGGGGGAGCCCGGCTGGCCCGTTCCCTTCATTCCAGCGTTAATGAACAGAGAGGCTGCAGAGTGGAGAAAAAGGCTGTTTACCCGCAGCCCAGAATACATATCAGCCCCATGAAGGATGCATGAGGAGCCAAACAGCACAGAAGTAGCAGGAAAAACCAAAGCCGTAAGGCCCCAAAAGTGCTCCCGGACAGACAATGAACGCAGATCCGTTATCGGTAAATCAGAACAAAAGGAATCTCCTCTGAGTCGTTCAGATCCAGAAGAATGGTGTTTTATTTTTCGGAGTTTAGAGAATCCTCTCGGAGATGCTGGGCGCCTGGGCTCCGTCTTATCTTGGAAGCTTCTAATGGCCTCTCAGTCATCGCAGATTATCGGCCCGGTTTCAACAACCAGATGTTTTCAAATCAGCTCAAAGACGAAATAAAAGGGAAAGAAATAATACCGAGTGCTTTTATTAGGGGAGAGACCGTGAGGCACCTTTAAAAGACTGGTCTGGTTTTCACTGAAGAAAAAAAACAATAAAGCAGCTAAAAATACACAGAAAGAGGAGTAGCGAGCACATGTTAGCGATCACATGTTAGCGAGCACATGTTAGCGAGCACATGTTCAAGCCTGGAATCTCCTGAATCCACCAGGTGAAAACCCAGACATGAAATC